TATGTACAGTTTTTTTATTTTTTGTCTTCTTATGGCTTATTTTATTTTATTTATTTAATAAATAAATTATATTAAAAAAATTAAAATATAAAGTTTTATATTAAGTTTAAGATTAATTGTGATTAATCATGATTAATTCACAGCTGCCTTGGAATTAATAGATTAAAATTTTAATCATTTGACAGCCCTACATTCAGCATTAACATCTGGATCCCACAGGGTGACCCCAAACATAAGCAGAGCCTGAAGGTTTCCTCATAAATATGTTGTTTTATTTCTTATTTATGTCATCAAAGGTTTTCTTTTGTGTCTGTGGGCAGAGTGAAGACCCTGCTGCGAGCAGCGTCCGGTCCAGGAGCGCCCAGCCGCCCAGTCCTGAGTCTCTGCGTCGAAGAGAAGTGATTTTAAACGCAGACAGCAGGTGTGTGCGACAGCAGGTGTAAATCTGAGTTTTAAAAGGATTGTTAACTCACAGAGATGACTTCTATAATAACTCCAGAAGCTCCACTCAGGAGCTGCTGAGCTATAAATAACCTCCTGGACACTAGAGCTGTAATTAGCTTTAGGTGCCTGAGAGAATGTTGTTATTTAATCTCTGGCTGCTCAGTCTTCAAAAGAAATACTTCGGACTCGTTCAGCCAGTTTGTGCTGAAGCTGAATCATGTTTTACTTTTACAGAAGCATTACTGAGAGTTTCTGTCCCCCCCACAGCCTGGAAACTGCTGAGACCGACTGTCTGCTGGACGACTTCGTCTTCCTGCCCGATGAAGGACCCAGCCTTGCCTSTGGTGCGTTCCTGTTTACAAACCCTGAGTTCTTAAACACAAGGATGTTAATCACTTATTGTTCAGAGCTGGACCAGCTCTAGGACTGGAAAGTGACTTATTAACTCAAGGTTATCACTTCTTCTGTCTTTATTCAGCAGGACGTGAGGACAAGAAGACACCCAGGCTTTCCTCATCAAGTGGCTCCACCTCCATCAGGTGAGGAACAGAACAGAGGTCCCAACCACCCCCCCACTCCCTCGTCTAATAATTCATAACACTGTTTGATGCTAAAATAAAATCAGCCGGTATTAAATCAGTCTGTAAACCATCAACAAACAGATTTAATTATCAACTGAGCTCTAAACATTCCARAGCAGGACACATTTTAACTTTTAAACTGAAACAATGACTTATTTCTGACTTCAGACTTCCTCGTTTCAAGGATTACCTCACCGGTTTGACATTGGAATCCAAAACAATAATAATAATAATATTTTTAACATTTTAAATGGTGTCAAAACACACTGCAGCTGATGTTAATTATAAAAGGATTTTATTATTATTAAGTTCARTTTTATTGATCTCATGCCACTCATTAACAGAGTGAGATGTTGGTTGTTTGCATTAAATGAACTGACCTGGTTCCTGTGAGGAAACGACCAGCTGCACGGAGACAAACCAACATCAACAAACAACAGATGCTAAACAGATTGAAATCAAGATAAACTCCTGAAATACTTACTGAGTGGAGCAGAAAACACAAAAACATAAAGTTTTAGAAAGATTTTACTCRTCAGCTGGCCTGAATAAAAACACATTCCACAACATAAAACCAGACATGGAGGATGTTTCCAGAAACATTATTTTTATCATTATTATTTTTCAGCTCCTCCAGGACCTCAGCCCCTCCCTTCCTGGTGCGTTCTCGTCCCAGAGCCATTCGAGTCAACGGCCGGGTCCTCAGCCTCTCCTTCCAGGGGGAGGCCCTGCTCAGCCAGCTGACAGTGGTGGGGGGGAACAAGACGGGGGTGTTTGTGCATCAGGTGACTGCAGGCAGCTCCGCCCACACGGTTGGCATCAGTCCTGGGGCGCAGCTGGTAGAGGTGGGTGGGCGTGTCTTGGAGATAACTGGTCTGTCTGCAGCAGAGGTGTACCTCATGGTGGTGTTGTTGTGCAGGTGAAGTATGAGCAGAAGGACCGAGCTGTGAGGATGGTGCTGGAGGATTCCACCTTAGAGGAGGCCACGTGGGCTCTGAGCCAGGTCACAGGATTCTGTCACCTGTCCCTGCGGCCCAGACAGGACGGTACGTCCCCCTCATTCTTCTTCCTTTCACCTGATTGCATGGATTTCTCCCTCTGATATGTGAGGTTTGTTCATCTTGTAATAATAAAAAAATAACGTTGTGATGCATCTCACTAATCCAGGTAGAAAAAATCAAAAAGAAAAAATAAGTAGTTCCTCTGGATGGTTCTTCTTTAGTGAAACGTTTTGTCTCTCCTCCAAGAGACTTCTTCAGTCTGAGTTTCAGGTGAACTCAGCCTTATAAGCACTGCCTCCACATGGACAAACAGGTTAGTCATATGCAAAAGAGGGCCATCGCCTRACAATAGGCTTGATTAGACTCATCAGACTGAAGAAGTCTCTTGGAGGAGAGACGAAACGTTTCACTAAAGAAGAACCATCCAGAGGACCTACTCATGTTTTCTTTTTGAATAAAATATAACTTTGATCATTCAGATAGATTTATGAGTTCAGCTGGACTCAAGGATTTCCTCCTAAATATGAAGGGTTTGCACAAAAAATAAATAATCAAACAAATTCATCACATTTATTTATTATCAAGTTTACTTATTTAATGCAACCTCCAGTTGAGTGCTTCCAGTTTATCAGGACTGCAGTTTATTTTATTATTATTTTTAGAAATAACTCTTGTTGGGTGCGGCTGGAGGTAAAGTTATCTTTACTGGTCAGTAAACATTTCTCTCCTCATGTTCATCAAGTGAGTGTGAGGTGAAACAAGAGAAGATTCAAATTCAGTCCAATCTATCTGTAGAGCGTTCCACACAAAGGTTCCACTTCAGTGGAAACTATAATCARCTTAATGACAGTCATGTGGTTTAATTCAGCAGAAATGTAACCTGACTGCATTCCTGCAGTCCTGCAGTAACATGAGATGTTTTCTTTTTATGAACCAAAGCTTCATGTCTGTAAAACTCTAATTCATAAAAAGTTGGGATGTGGTTTAAAATGTATAAAAACTGAAAAGCAATGATTTGCAAATCTCATAAATCCAAATTTTATTAACAGATTAAACAGCAAATGTGACCCATCACATCAAAATGAGGATTAAGTCAAATTTGGTCAAAATGACCTAATCACATTTTCTGATTCTTGGCTTTAAA